TCCAGCAGCCTCTGGTCAAGTCCATCTGTCCTGGACCACGTGCCATGTTGGACCCTCAGTGTGGCCTTCCCTCATGGGTTCTTAAATTTATAACTTTTTGACCTAAAATGACAAATGTATTTAGAATGAAACTCTGTGGGTTCTGTGATCACACTAACGAGCGTGGTCACAGGAAGATTTGGGAGGCTCCCAAGCGGAATCCCTTTTGCTGCTTGGGACCTATGTTGAAACATCTGGAACTGATGTACCCCCACTGTGACCCAGTCATCCCTTGGGGAAGTGACATTCCCACTCTCAGGTAGGTGCTGTAAAGTAACTTATGAGAGAGGCAGGGCCTGGGAACACCAGGAGGAAGAGAAATCTGAGATGAACCCAGGGGAGCCAGTCAATCAGACAGGATAAAAGGCTGTGTCTGAGCAGAGACTTGCAGTCAGAATCCCTGAGAGAAGAGAAACGGCATTTAGAGAAAGTGGGAAGCGAGTGAGCTGAGGTGTGGGAGGGGAGGCTGGGTCCACACGTGGGTCTTTAGGACACAGGGAACCACTGGGGAGTGCAGTAAAAAGACTGTCTGGTTATCTCTTCCTGTAGAACAAACTCCCTGGAATACAGCTGCTTGACAACAGCCATCTTTCCCGTTACCTGCCTGGGCTGATCTGTNGAAAAGACTGGTTATCTCTTCCTGTAGAACAAACTCCCTGGAATACAGCTGCTTGACAACAGCCATCTTTCCCGTTACCTGCCTGGGCTGATCTGTGGGGTTTTCCACTGGGAGTCTCTCCTGCGTGCTGGAATCATCTGTAGGTCTGACTGGGCTCGTGTCACATGACTGTCCTAGATGCTGGGGGGCGTTCAGCCTGGGCTGCTGACCCGAGCACCTACACGGGCTCCTCCATGGCTTGGGCTCCCACTGCGTGAAGAATGGCTCTGAGAGAAGTGTCCCTAGACACAGTGTGCCAGCTCACCCAGTGAGGGACTGCAGGCTTCTTAGGACCTGGCTTAGTCCCAGTGGAATCTCTGCTGCTGTATTGTATTTGGAGGATGTCACCAGAGAGAGCCCAGGATCCGGGGGTGGGGGGCTGAGGCCCACCTCGTGACTGGAAGGGGTGAGTGAGGTCACTTAGTAGAGCATGTGACATGGAAGCTAGGGCTGTGGCCATCTTTGGAAAATGCAAACTTGTACATTTTGTCTTGGAAAAGGCACTAGAAAGAACATCTTTGTGACTGTCATCTTGCTTCATCATGACAGGCCAGCTCAGGCTGCTGTCCTTGGATTCTGGAAGCTCAAGACTGAGAAATGGCCCAGGTGCTGACAGGAATGAAAGAGCAGAACCTCTCAGGTGTCCAAACGATTAAACACATGCTATGAGGTTTTGTCATTTTTTTTTAAAGACATTTATCTTTAAACTTGGGGAAAGTTTCAAACTAAATGATGTCCAAGTGATTAAACCCATATCAGAAGTTTCTGTGACTTTCAAAGACATATTAATTTAACTTGTGAAAAGTTCCAAGCCATCGCTACCATATTTTTAAACTAGGCCAATGAACATAAATTAAATAAAGCTGAAAACAAATTTCAGTTACACAAAAGTCTTGTCTGAAACATAAACCTACTATCGGAAGCTGAAAGAGGCAACAGGAGTCAGCCCCCGCAGCCTCAGAGGGCGTATTGGCCTGCAGACACTCAGGCTTGGGATTCCAGCCCTGAGACCCTGGACCAAGCCAGCGACTGTGGAAGAGGAACGCCAGCCCCGGGACACACGGCTGGCCTCAGGTTCTCCTCAGCTACCCAGAGGGCGCAGCTGCACTCGGCCCGTCAAGACCAGCAGGACAAGATAGACTTACTGACCATCCAGGCAGGACAAGGGAGAAATCTGTCCACTCGAAGTGGTTCTTGGCCTTTCGTTATGTGCAGCAAGCCTGAGTTTTGTTTTCAAAAGTTTTCATCTGGTGTCTTAGGATTCCACTGAGCTCAACAAAATGCTACAGTCCACAAGGGAATCTGCTAAGGGAGCAGACGTTTAACATGGCTCAGCATGGACATCAGCAGTAGCAGTGAGTTTAGAGATCTGCCAAGCAGACAAAAGGCACAAGGTTTGGGAATCCTTTGCCTCCTCACATGTCCTCTCTCATCTAAATCTAGCACTGGCTGGGTTTCCTACCAGAGACCAGAGACACCTTATCGAAAGGGATTCGCACTCATCAAAATGCAAGGAAGACACGCACTGCCTCTTTACTCTCTTGGGCCACTGTCACTGGATGACATCAAATAGTTTCTGTTTTTCTTTGTGAGAGAGAAAAGCCCATAAGAAAGATATGAAGCAAACATGGGCCATGACAGAAACAGGACTTCCTCAAAAAGTAGTGGTAACCCTAGATGGCCTACCTCATCTTGGGCACTGTTGCTCGGCTTTTTGACACCGTTGTCCTGGTCCCTGAGAGCAAGTCCTCTTCTGAGAGCTGCCTCCGAGGTTTTGCACTCTGTCCCCCGGGGGGATATTGGGTTCTCTGGAGCTCAAAGGGCAGTAGCCATCCTGGTCGCACTTCCTGGCTCACTACCGTCACTCTCCCCGGCAGTCTTCGGAGCCTTTGCCACATGATTGCCATACTGTCCTGGGTGTCGATCTGACTTCCAAGAAGAGGACAGCTTCCTGGGGATGAGCTGCATTTCCCAACAGAAAGCCCTCCGTGCCCCAGAAACTCCCAGGAACAGGCCAGAAAACAGTCTCAGGTAGGGTTGACCATTTCCCTGCTGGAGCCTTCAGGCATCACCTCCCCACGCACCTTGCCAACTCTCAGATGTGGGTTGGGCCATTCCCAGAGTCGGTGAGAGGGGTGAGAGGGGTGAGAGGGGTGAGAAGGGTAAGAGGGGTGAGGGTGGTGAGAGGGGTGAGAGAGGTGAGAGGGGTGAAAGGGGTGGGGGCGGTGAGAGGGGCGCCTAAAGGCTTGACTATAGTGTTTTAATGTTTTGAAACACTTTTACTTTATCTTCATATGTGTTTTCTGTCCCCTTACCTATAGCCTGTCCCCCAGCTGTGTAAAAGCCTCCTCGCCTCCTCCTGAGTATGGCTGAATTGCCACCCTTTCCATGAAACCTGTCACTGCCCCAAACTAGAATCAGAATAACCTCCCCTGGCTTGCTCTCCCCCTCCCTGGTTTATTTTTCCGCAGCCTTTATGCCACCTGACGAGCAGTTTCATTTTTCCTGTTGGCTTTGCTGATTGTGTCTCTGCGACGTTAGCATCGAATCCATCCAGAGGTCGAGGAGCTCTGCCCGCCTCTATTCTCAGCACAGGACGGGGCCTGGCAGGCAGCGGGCACGCAGTAAACCTGCTGCCCGGGCGAAAGGACGTGCCCAAGACGCATCCAAGCACATTGCCCTAGTTTCAAGAGCCAAGCACTGAAGTGAGGCAGAGACCCCTGTCGGTACTCCGTCTCTCCAGCACACACCCCTCTTCCTCAAGGAAAGATCCACAATTATTAATTCAGTGATATTAACAGTCCTTTTTTCTTGGCCTTTACCCAAAAACATAGGTAGTTTTGTTGTGCGCTTTTTAAAATTTTTACAAAAATGGGATTCTGCCATATCTATTTGCAAAATAATGCCCTTTCACCAGCCATTATAGCTTGGACATCTCTCCTTGTTTGTACTTCAGACTGAGATGGTTATTTTTTAATCTTCACCCGAGGATGGTTATTTTTTTAATCTTCACCCGAGGATATGTTTATTGATTTTTTAGAGAGAAAGGAAGAAAGAGAGAGAGAAACAGCGATGTGAGAAACATCAATCAGTTGCCTCCTGCACACACCCTGACTGGGGATCAAACCTGCAACCCAGGCGTGTGCCCTGACCTGGAATCAAACCCGAAACCTTTTGGTGTGCAGGACAATGCCTGAGCCACCTGAGCCACCTGGTCAGGGCACTGAGATGATTAATTTTAAGTGTCAACTTGACTATACTACTGTGCCAAGTTCTTTGGTCAAACATTAGTCTAGAGGTTGCTGTGATGTTACTATGTAGAAGTGATTATAATACATTTACAATCTTGATTTTCTGAGTTAAGCGTGAATTCATCCAAATGCATCTTTGTTTTAAATACTTCTGGATTTGATTTTTCAACATTTCATTAAGGATTTTTGGCCTCTGAGTTCATACACATATATAACAATTCTTGTTAAAACAAGATGAGATTTCTGATGCGAATGTCCCCCCGTCCCAATGTTGACATAATTTGGACAAATGGAGAGTCATTTAACTAGTTGTCACTCTGGTGAAGCCCTGGGATTGATTAAAATATTTCTCCCAAAACCAAAAATGCAAAGTCAAGGGGTTGAGAAAAATAAGTGTTAATTTTTAAATATTAAGTTCATTTAGTATGTTGCTTTCTCAATAGGTGACTGTATTTTTCCATTCATATTGTTACTAGTCATCCAAGTTATTGCTCCCAAAAAAGGATGGATCTGAAATTTTAGAATTTAATAGCCATGAGATTTCTAACACAAAACTTATCCAAATAAGACAAAAATTCTGCTAAGAAATTAAGTCAGCCATTAAAATATATATATGTACACATTTAAATATATACATAAAGTATGCATATATTCAATATATGGATTTATTCCATGAGAAAGAAAATGAATTACAAGATAAGACACTAGGTTCAAATTTTAACCCACCAAGACAAATTCTTAACTGATCTCTGTACTTTTTGCCCCAAGTAAATAGCTATGGATTACTTGAGCTCACAGACTTAGAATTACAACCCTCTTTGCCACTGTTCATGACAAAAGATAAATCAAAGTTGTTCTTTTCACATATGGATCTTTATTCTTAGCCATTTACAATGACGACAGAGTCGCCTCTGGCCTCTGGACCTGTCCCAAGCAGTTTGCCGCTGCTTTCCTGTTTGTGACAGGGTGGCCTGGCTTTTTCTTACTCACCACCACGGTTTCTGCCTATCAGTCATCGGGGTCCTTCATTCAAGGTCAAAGACACAAAGAAGAGGGCCTGCAGGGTCCAGTCCACTACCTGCCTGCCTGGTTTCTCTGCACGCAGGTGAGATACTCCTGCACATCATCTGGGGACCCCAGAACCAGGGGGACGCGTTGGTGAATGGTCTCGGGCTTCACATCCAGCACGGGCTGGGTGCCTGTGGTCGCCAAGCCTCCCGCCTGCTCAATGATGAAGGCCACGGGATTGCACTCGTACAGGAGCCGGAGCTGCAGGGAAAGTCAGGCACACAAGCTTTGCAAGTTGCCAAAACTCTCAAGCCCTTCCCCTGAAGCTTGGCGAGGGATTCCTACTGTGAACTTCCGTCTGGTCGCTGCGAGGTGGCTCCTGCACCTCCGCAGGCTGGGCTGCCCAAGATCTAGCCCCTCCGGGAGGCTGGATGCATCGGCCGGTGGGCACCACACTGGCCTCAGCAGGCACCTCTGCTCAGTAACTACCTGGCATGTGACCCTGTGAGAGACCCGCCCCTTCACTTGGGTGGATGGGGTCCTGGTGCCCTTTTCTTGATGGTTTTGTAACGGGGGAAATGAGCCTGCAGCCTGGTTAGGAGGCTCTGTCTGTGAGGAGTCAAGCTTGGACGGGATTGCTAGGTGGTCTTTCCGGATAACCAGTGCCCCGGATTGTGGCAAGGAGCACACCTCAAGCATCGACTCAGCTAAATAGTTCGCTGGTACTTAAACTGCTTGTTTTTGCTCCTTAGACTGAGTTAACGCCCGTTGCTTACAGTCCACAGCATCCTGCACTCACCCTTCCTAGCAGTCCTGGCAGTGAGGTTTGTCTGACATCTGCCTTCCTCCTTTGTCACCCTCCCTGAGGGAATGGACAGCATCTGTCTTGGTCACTGTGGCATCTACAGCCCCAATACTGCCTGACACAAAGAAAGTGTCCAAACAAGGCTATCACATACCTTGCCCAAGGGTAGAGGGCAGAAATAGGGGATAAGATTGGCCCATGCCCTGCTTGCCAAGCTGTGCTCACGGACCCAGGGCTGAGCCTGTTCCAAACAAGGAATACCCTTTGTAAAAGGCACGTTGAGAACTAGCAGGTGACCTCCCGTGTGGGTAAGTACATGGTGAACTGAACTGGACTGGAATGAATTTCCTTTTTGGGTCTATTTCTGACACACACACACACACATCACATCATGTTAGATTCAAGGTGACATTCTAGCTGCATTCTCTGACTCAATACCATTCTATCTTCTCCTTCGTTCCCTTACAGGTGCAAAATCTGTGATTTTAAAAAAGATTTCCTTTCTATAATCAGCTCAGAAAGTGGTTGACCCAGCTCTATGCAACTTTTTTCTTTCTTTTCTTCAAATCCATTTTGAAGACATGTTAAAACTACTTGGAGAAACAGCCATATCTGATGCTGATTTTTAAAATGTTGTTACTGCCTGGAGAGGAATAAAATATCTCTGGTCTGGGTTGGAGAGCCAGGCACTCAGGAGAGAGTAAGTTAGAGCTCCTGGGCATTTACTTGCCATTTTAGTAAAACAGGGTACGATGCCCTCACCCTAGACCTCCTGCCCTTAGAGTCGTGGGCAGCCTGGCAGGGCACAGAGGAGCCCCAGTGCATGTGGGCACACTTGAGTCAGCTATTTTTTCCCTGGTCATCCACAGGAGGGATATTGGAGGCCACACTGTCCTCGACTGACCACCAGGGAGATTCTGACCTGGCAACTGTAGAGATTGGCTCTTTTCTCCCCTTTCCCTGGCTCTGGGTGTGTGAGGGCAGGGGTTTGGAGGTGTCAGACAATGAAGTCCCTGGTTGTAATCAACTGACCTTTGTTTGTACCATGTTGATTCAGATACTTCAAAAACAAACAAAAAGAGCACAGCATTCTCACATAGTTTGTTCTGGTGTAGTGAACTCATCTGAAAACACAGTGCCCAGGTCTTCATGGTGCCTTGGCCTGCAGGCCACACAATCTATGTTTTTCTGTAAAGTCTACATTGCTCTACAGAGACAAGCAAACAGAGGAGGAGATTTGTAACCCCCCCCCCCAC